TTTAAACTTCCTTCCAACGCAGAGAAGTGACTTTTTAATTCAGAGGACAGATACATGACAGTGATGTCCAAGAATTAAAAACCTGTAATCAGTGATTTGTTCTCTTGTTTTTACCGAACATTTGGCTGACATTAACCAGTAGTCGGAATCTTAAGTAGATTTTACAGGAAATTCATTTGTATTTCGAGATTTTTATTCTCGCAACCTCTCCCTGCATTTTTTAAGCCTTAGTTGGTAAAAACAATTTAGTTCTTTCAACATTCACAGATAACAACATGATGGCGCAAATAAATCAAAGACGTCAACAGTGATTGAGGTCTTTATTGACTGACTACGATGTTGTGGCCTTATAAAGTAGAAACAAACCGACAACAGCAAGACAACAGAACGTGAATCAGAGAGCACAATGGCAATGACAGCAGATTGGGAGAATGAAGACTTTCCCCATCTATGGACGAAAGTCGTTTTTTTGTGGAATACAAAAATGAGTCATATTGAATACTGTTGCAAGCTAAATACCTCCAGCTTCTATTGCTGAATACTTTCTCTGTTCTGTCTTAAAGAAAGAAAAAATAAAACTTGCATTTTTTTTTAAGTTAGCATTACCTAATGTAGCCTTCTTGATCTAAATACATTTTCGTCTGTATTTTTTACTTTTCTTGGGAACATTTGAATTATTGCTCCTTACTTTTGCCAACTCTGCCAGGAACAACCCATTCAGTCCAAATTTGCTGAGGCTTGGAGTTGAGCCGGCTGCAGCTGTTCAATGCAACAACAAAAAGGCTAACAGAGCCCCCTAGAGATGAACGGAAGAAGCAAGCAGTTCATGAAGATGTCGCTTCATCAAGATGCATTCTTCTTTGTGACCACTCGAGGACGACAGAGCACCTCCTCTATAATATTAGCAGATCTACCTGTATCTGTCTGTCTGTCTGTCTATCTATCTATCTATCTATCTATCTATCTATCTATCTATCTATCTATCTATCTATCTATCTATCTATCTATCTATCTATCTATCTGTCTGTCTGTCTGTCTGTCTATCTTCAAGTTTTCAAGTGCGGTTGACTTTACCTCTCTTTATTTATGAATTTTTTTTAATGCTTTGCCCTCTTAAGCTGAAGTTAAAAAACGTAAAAAGCCCTTTGACAGTAAGTTGAAACAACAGATAATCGTTCATCCATCCATCCATCCATTCATCCATCCATCCATTATCAGAGCCGCTATTTGCACGAGGGTCGTGGGCATGATGGAGCATATTTTATTTTGTCAGGTGGTTGCACAAAATAAAGTGATGTGGAACCAGATACATTTTTTGAGAAGATGTAAAGTGTACTTTAAAAAATCAATTTCGATCCAGATAATTTCAATTCATGCAACCAATTGACGAAATAAAAATGAGTACATTCAACAACAACTTTTTTTCTGTGACGTTAACATACAGGCCAGGGTTCGTGTTTGTGTTTCGGGCGCTTAGAGCGCCAAGGGCTTTCTGACAAATGTGAGCTGAATGTAAATGTGCTCACTGACTTTGTGGTTCAGTGTCCTGACCAGTGTGCATTCGCGCGGTTCCACTTGAGTGGGAATGATTGTCTTTTTCTACATGCACCCGGCAACAGAGCAGTGACCAGTCCTGGGTGAAGTCGACCTTTCTCCCAAAGTCAGCTGACCTGGCTTCAGCTCCGCCGCGACCCTGAACAGGAAACAGCACAACGTGGGGAAGCTCAGTTTTCCTCGTGTGCTCGGACGTCACTGCATACTGAAACCAGCATGTTACATGCTCCTGAAACACATTTTTGTTGCTCCAAAGAAAAAAAAAATTAGATCCTTTTTTTATCGTAGACTATATCCATTTTCTCACCCGCTTATCCTCACAAAGGTCACGGATGTGCTGGAAACTGTCCCAGCAGAAATCGGCCAGTAGGCGGGAGACACCCTGAACTGGTTGCTAGCCAATTGCAGGACATAGACTATACATCTCCGTAAAAAATGTATCTGTATCCAGATGATTTTATCTCGTGCAACCATTCGACAAAATCAAATTGAGTATATTCAACACAGCATTTTTTTCAGATTAGTTGTATTCGGCATTTAAAATACAGCCAAAGAACAAGGGTGGTCTCGTAATTTTTCTCATGGCTGCATAGTCAATGTAATTTTTTTGCACGTGCTTTTCTTCCATCATCTGATTTACCACAAACTTACTGTATTGCGACACGTGCTTTGAGAGCATTTTTAGTCTCCAGGATGAACCGCTATACATGGATGTGTGCCACGTTGTAGACCCCCTTTCTAAGAATGAAGGCAAGGCTATTGAAGATGCTTCAAACGGACGTAACAACAAAGAGAAGGAACTACTGGATGAGCAGACATCTGGTTGGCCGCTCTCCATTCTGGGCCGTAAAGCAGAGCCTATCGTAACCTGCCTGTGATCGACGGCTGCGGCTTGCGGGAGGAGTGCGGAGGGGGGTATTAACTTTCACAAGGGTTCAAAATCAAAGGGAGTTTCTGTCACTAGTCTTCAAGTTTTCAAGTGCGGTTGACTTTACCTCTCTTTATTTATGACTTTTTTTTTAATGCTTTGCCCTCTTAAGCTGAAGTTAAAAAACGTAAAAAGCCCTTTGACAGTAAGTTGAAACAACAGATAATCGTTCATCCATCCATCCATCCATTCATCCATCCATCCATTATCAGAGCCGCTATTTGCACGAGGGTCGTGGGCATGATGGAGCATATTTTATTTTGTCAGGTGGTTGCACAAAATAAAGTGATGTGGAACCAGATACATTTTTTGAGAAGATGTAAAGTGTACTTTAAAAAATCAATTTCGATCCAGATAATTTCAATTCATGCAACCAATTGACGAAATAAAAATGAGTACATTCAACAACAACTTTTTTTCTGTGACGTTAACATACAGGCCAGGGTTCGTGTTTGTGTTTCGGGCGCTTAGAGCGCCAAGGGCTTTCTGACAAATGTGAGCTGAATGTAAATGTGCTCACTGACTTTGTGGTTCAGTGTCCTGACCAGTGTGCATTCGCGCGGTTCCACTTGAGTGGGAATGATTGTCTTTTTCTACATGCACCCGGCAACAGAGCAGTGACCAGTCCTGGGTGAAGTCGACCTTTCTCCCAAAGTCAGCTGACCTGGCTTCAGCTCCGCCGCGACCCTGAACAGGAAACAGCACAACGTGGGGAAGCTCAGTTTTCCTCGTGTGCTCGGACGTCACTGCATACTGAAACCAGCATGTTACATGCTCCTGAAACACATTTTTGTTGCTCCAAAGAAAAAAAAAATTAGATCCTTTTTTTATCGTAGACTATATCCATTTTCTCACCCGCTTATCCTCACAAAGGTCACGGATGTGCTGGAAACTGTCCCAGCAGAAATCGGCCAGTAGGCGGGAGACACCCTGAACTGGTTGCTAGCCAATTGCAGGACATAGACTATACATCTCCGTAAAAAATGTATCTGTATCCAGATGATTTTATCTCGTGCAACCATTCGACAAAATCAAATTGAGTATATTCAACACAGCATTTTTTTCAGATTAGTTGTATTCGGCATTTAAAATACAGCCAAAGAACAAGGGTGGTCTCGTAATTTTTCTCATGGCTGCATAGTCAATGTAATTTTTTTGCACGTGCTTTTCTTCCATCATCTGATTTACCACAAACTTACTGTATTGCGACACGTGCTTTGAGAGCATTTTTAGTCTCCAGGATGAACCGCTATACATGGATGTGTGCCACGTTGTAGACCCCCTTTCTAAGAATGAAGGCAAGGCTATTGAAGATGCTTCAAACGGACGTAACAACAAAGAGAAGGAACTACTGGATGAGCAGACATCTGGTTGGCCGCTCTCCATTCTGGGCCGTAAAGCAGAGCCTATCGTAACCTGCCTGTGATCGACGGCTGCGGCTTGCGGGAGGAGTGCGGAGGGGGGTATTAACTTTCACAAGGGTTCAAAATCAAAGGGAGTTTCTGTCACTAGCGAGGGGGTCTCAGCAACAGGAGTCCCATTCACAGGGAATTCCTGGCCAGTGCCCTCCGTGGCATCTGTTGACTCAATCTTCTTCTCCATGGAGAGAAAAAAAAAAACAGTCATTAAAAGGCCACATGACTGTGAACTTGATTGCAGAAGGCGCGACAAGCAGCCCATCAATGGGATGAGTATTTACTCGGAGGTGTGAGGGTCTTTGAACAGCCCACCATGTTGGTCTGCCTTCACGCTGGCAGCACAATGGGGCAGCTTTGTCATGCTGCAGGGGATCAAATCATCATTTACATGTACATCAAATGTTAGCCCGACAGGAAATTTACACATTTAGTGAATAAAAAAAAAAAAGGAAAAAAGTTCAAACTATTTTCATAATTTGCAATTACTTGTCAAGGTTTAAAAAAGTAACATTAAGGAAGCGTGCATTGTTTCAACACAGAGATTGTTTATTAAAATCCACATGCAGCCATTGACCCTATAACACTTAGCATTTATACATCATTTACAGGGAATTTGGAATGCTGCAGATACAACTTCTGAATCAGAAAAGTAAAGGTTGTGTTTTAGAATTTGAAAGCGAGGCAAACAAATCAGGGCAAGAATTAAAACCTCGAATAACTAATCAACATCTTGGAATTCTTATGAATTCATTCTGGGCTTTTTTGTATGACTTACCTTGAATTGCATAATTAAGGGCATGGTCATTGTGCTCATTTGAATCTAGAACAAAGACATGACGATAACCCATTTGTTTTTTTTCCATTTTCACATACAATCAAATTTTGAATCAACGTATCATAATTTTTCTCATTTTTTGCTCTTCTGCTTATGACAGGGAGCGTGCCGCTTGCCCCAGTGCATTGAAAAAACTTTTGGATGAATTTACTCAATTTTATTGTGATTCTTATTTGGTTGCTTGCAATAAAATCATCTGGATCCAAGTAAGACGAAACATCTATTTAAAAATTGGATCTGTATCCAGATGATTTTATTTCATGCAGCCACTTGATGAAATAAAATGGGGTAAAGTCAACACAGCCTTTTTTTTTTCCAGTGTGTGCAAAGCTACCGCATCAAGTGAGAATCACACAGTTTGCATTTGGAATTCGGGAAAGCCGGACGGCAGACGTTACTCTCTCTTGATGTTGGCGAGCAGAGGGTCCGAGCCCTGCGCCGGCTGCCCGGGCCTGCTCTTCCTGCTCTGGTGGGTCTTGACGTGTTTGGAGAGGTGGTCACTCCTCATGAACCTCTTCCCGCACTGCTGGCAGCCGAAACGTTTCTCGCCGGTGTGGGTGCGCAGGTGCCTCTGCAACTCGTCGGAGCGCGTGAAGCTTTTGCCGCAGAAGAGCCAGTTACAGATGAAGGGCCGCTCGCCGGCATGCCAGCGCAGGTGCGCCTTGAGGTGCGACGTCTTCTTGTACACTTTGCCGCACTCGGGAATGTGGCAGATGTGCAGTCTCTTCTTTCCAAACTCCAAGCCGCCGCCGCCGGCTTGGCAGTTGGGGCACTTGCAGCGCCGACAGCGGCGCGTGGAGCTGAGCAGACCCTTGGGGGTCCCCTGGAGGAGAGCGGCGATCTGCGGCTGGTGGCCCAACACGAGCTGTCTGCCCAGGGCAAAGGGATGGTTGGAGGGTGTGCCGTTGGTTTGTGGAAGGCTCCACCACTGTTGCCCTTCCTCACTGTGGCCTCCTGGCAGCTGATGTCTGGCTGAGGAGTTCTGGAGAAAGCTGGGGAAGTTTTGTCCCACACTGCTGTGTTGCGGGTAGTAAGAGCCGTTGGCCTGCGGCTGCGAGGACAACACTTTGACGGGGGAGAGTTCGAATGAGTATGATGAGGCAGGCTCGGCCGGAGGAGTGAGAGGAAGCTCATGGTGAGGATGATGATGATGGTGGTGGTGGTGATGGTGGTGGTGGTGGCCCAGGCCAGACTGCACATGGGCAGGAAATTGCACCTTGGGCACGGTGAAGGTCATTTGGTGCGTGCTGAGGGCTGTCCCGGGCGTCATGTCGTTGCTCCACAGCTGGAACATGCCAGAAGCGGAACTGACGCTGCCCTCGTAGGGGAACTGGGCGCCCTCGGAGCTGGCACAGCTGCCCGCCTGCCAGGCTTGGCTGCAGGTGGTGGCCAGGAAGGACAGGGCGTTGGGGGGGCCCTCTGGAGAGGAGCTGGGCGTGCGGTCCTGTTCGGCGGTCAAAACACACACACACAGAATGTCCACAAAATAGCTATGAATACAAAATGCATTGCATTGTAAATAATGCCTTAATAATAATATGCTCGCTTTGATGAAACTGCAATATATTAGTCAACAAAAATTAAATTATCAAAGAGTAACTTCAAAAATAAGTAACAGATAAAACACTTATGTGGTACTGGTTGATACAAAAGGGAAAGACGTTTCAAAGTGGTTCAGAATGTATTCATTTCGCCTCGTGAGCAAAATGAATCATTCCTTTGCGTAAGTCACTTGAAAGATACTTGAAAAACAACAAGAAATTATTTTTCCCTTTCAACAATATTTATTTTGTTTTGTTTTTTTTCATTTTTATTTTTAAAATGTGAAAGGCACACTCACCACAAATCACAAAATATTTGGTCACTTCAACACAAGCAACCCAAGTTAGTGCAGTGGTGTTAATGTTAAATTCAACACAATAATATGAATCTGATCTGTGAATCTGGTGATTCACAACGGTGTGCTGCAGTAAATCAAGTCAGCAGTAAGTTCATCGTGGAGTTAGTCAGATATAAGTTAATCGAAATATGACTGCGCACGTATGTTGATATTAACAGATTTGCATCAATATGCAAAATAGGAGGTCAAATGAAGCGCAGTGAAACACGTCTCTGCTAAAAAATTAAGCGCGCGTACTGTGCGCATATCCTCCCTTCGATATGGAAGCAAGTCTGTCAATCAAAGTAGAAAGGGCATAGCCACTTTGCGACCATGCTGTACATTTATGGAGCAAACAAACCTGTAAAAAGGTGTGCAAAAAGTTGTCAGTCCTTTGTATGGTGAGCGCAGCCATGTGTACTCGCGTCGCTTTCTTCTCCACGCAAGTGCAACGCAAACGTCCACGCGTGAGTGGAAAGTAGAGCAAAGTGACGCTCTCACTCGCCTCCTGCGAGATCAGTCCAGACGACAATCCCGCCGCTTTAAAAACAAAGTCCTCGCGGGCGTCGGTCTCTCGGTGGTCCAGAAGGTGGGAAGATGCGGACTCGAAATCCTCGCGATCAACTCCCGAGCAGTCTGAGCTGCTGCTTGTCTTTATACAGCCAAAAGATCGGCTCAACGGGGTCTCCAGGATGATGCGGGAGAGCAGAGGAGGAGGGTGCGCGTCGTCAGACGAAGGGGTGGGCCACTCATAATTTCAACCAAAAGATGACCCCGGCAACGGACTCCTCCCCGCTATTAATGTGAGCACAAATATACTGAGGGGGTCGACTGTGCTTTTTTTCTATCATTGTAAACTTTTTTCCAGCTACAGTATATACGTCACTTTATTATTTCTTTTTTTATTCGGGATAATCCACTATTTGCAGTGTTGGACGAGAAGCTTCCAAAATGTAACATCCTCAAAAGTGTTTGTGCATTTATGATCTGAAGGCAGTATGCACACTTTCAAACGGAGCTTACGTACACTGTACGATGGGAAAACTACTTAAATAAGTAAATAAGAAATAAGAGTTTTTCATAAATGTCATCATTAATGCACTAGAAATAATGTTCACAATAAGCAATTCTTAAAGATTAAATGCAAATGTGCTGTACAACAACTGAGCTGTAATACTTACAAATGTGTTTTCGTGTACAGTCCATGAAAAGTAAAAAATGGGGTTTCAACTCAATTCAACATATTGCATTTGTCTTTCATCCCGTGATTTGTGTGCTCTTCTTTCGTCCCACCGGGGTTTAGCCAGTGTGGTTTATAAAGAGACCAAAAGAATCTCTTTAAGTTAACAGGCTGCAAAAGTGCATCGCATGCCTCAGTTTCAGGCTGTTTCTCATCATTTCGTGCGTGTGTGTGCGCGCGTGTGCGTGCGCGCGTGTGTGTGTGTGTGTGTGTGTGTGTGTGTGTGCGTGTGTGTGTGTGCGTGTGCGTGTTTGCGTGCGTATATGCGTGTGTGTTACACTAGAGAGAGCCTCGCCAGGATTTTGGGGAGACTGAAATTTATCATTTTTGAATCCGGGTGCCTGGGTGAATGGATGTCAAAGTGCAGTTCGCAGTTCCACACACACACACACACACACACACACGCACTAACCACACACTTACATTTCTTGTGTTAAGCATTGTCCTGGTTATCTTTGAAACAGTTTGAGTAATAATCTCAATCTGTGGCCTCATATCATCTAAAAACAAACAAAACGATTACAAATATCACAACATATCAACACGTCTGTTATAACTGATGTCTAAAACTTAATCGGCTACTAAGAAACATAAGCAACAGCGAGAGGAATAATAAATGCTGAATGAGTGAATGGACGATTTTAAAATTCCAGTGGGACACTTTTTAAAGGTCAATAAAAATGCATCTTGTTTATTTTTATCGGTAATGCCTTACTTTCCTCTGTTATAACCAAAACGAGCAATAGTCACAGGAGCTGTGTTACTTCTGTGACTTTTTACTCTCCAAACAGTGCTTGTTGGACCAAGCTCACATAGCAGATGAGAGTTAAGTAACTTTTAGCAACTCTACACTGAGGACCAAAAATCTGCTTAGTCTGTTAAATAGAAACATCTAACATACATAACGATAGCTCAGTCAAAAATTATTTTTATCCGGAGAACTCACCATGGGATTTTGAATAATAAGAGATTTATTCTGAACACAACAGCGTCTGACGCACATTTTGAAATAGCAAAGTGTGAGGTTAGATTTGCAGCCCGCAAATTAAATGTCAACATGATCCACAACTGACTCCATCTTTTTGCTTTGTAAATGAAAACAACCACTTTTTTTTCTGGCATGACAGACTGGGGAACATCAGCACATCAAGACCATTTGCTTTCTGGGCATGAAATGAAACACACACCATGTTTATTGCCCATATCTGCATGTTGATTTCTAAACTTTAACGCGGGATGGAAGAATGTGTATTTACACACACACACACACACACACACACACACACACACACACACACACTTCCCCTCACCAGCTAATTGATATAACTCAATCAAAGAGCGTTCTCACCAGTAGGTGACACATCAAATAGGCCGCCCTGTGTGACATTCTCACATTGGAGAGTTCAAGTGGAGGCCGCTTCAGATGTGCTCCATTAAATGCAGATTGAGGCTTAATCTCATTCTGTAAGTCTCCTCACCATTACAATGTGAAGAGTTTCAACCCAGGCTGGGAACCCGCTTCTCATGTAAATTCGGAGCTCGCCACTTATCTGCTGCTCCTTGTTCCGCCGACTGCAATCCCTAAATAAACACACCTCAAGGAGAAGGCGGCTAAAGTCGTATTACAATAACATTAAAACAGGGGATAACACATTTTGGTGATTTTGTAGATCTCATTTAGCGCATACGGAATTAGAATAATCGAGATTAACATTGTGCTAGGATGCCTCAATGTAGTTCTTAAAAAAAAAAAAATCCATTCTGCTTTGCTGTACGTCTTGTTTTACCTGCATTACATGACGAGATTTTTGGATTTTTTACTTTCTGGAATGTTTTGGTGCAGAGAGCAGAACAATTGATGTCCTTGAGTGTTTCATCTAATGAGCTCTTTGGACTTGATAAGAGAGAATCTAAAGTAACAAACTTTCTTCTTTATCTACAATACGTTACACATTATGCAAATCTGCATCACAGCGATTTCTAAGAATGCATGCACCACAATTCACATATTTGCCTCAGTGTATCGGCAGTTTGAATCATGCCAGGCACATTTTGCCACAAGATAAATATTCTTGTGATGGCAAAATGTGTTGTGTTGTGATATGATGGAAGCTTGTAATTCTGGATTTTTTTTTTCAACTCGAGTAAAAGTGAGGGGCCTAATTCGGAAAGATGAAAGAGCACACAGTGTGGACGAGGAAGGACGACATGAGGCAGAGGTACAGTATGCTCCGTCTCGGCTTTATTACGGGGCAGAAGTTGTTAATTACCCCGACTCTTATTTCCTGTCCCCTCTCATCAACCCCCTCCTCCTTCCCAAATATCCCCCGCCACCCTCCGACGAACCCCTCCACCCGCACCCCCAGCGCGCTGCCTCCCAGATGAGTGGCTTTGAAGTGCAAAGTACTCTCTCCTCACTTTGAACTGTGAAAACAATGCTCATGTGGCTCTGCTTACCTTCCCCATGTTAGCTCATTTAAATAGACCTGGATACGGCTTGCACCATTTTCAAGGGAAAACTCATTCCAGAGAAAGAGCTCCCTGTGTTCATGAAACAGCTGCTAGGATGGCCGCTAATCAGGCCCGCACCGTCACACATTTGGTGTCTGCTCTGACTGACTGCAGGGCGGTCGCCGCACGCTCACTCGGCAACAGGAAGACACCATGATTTTCAGTCATTCAAATCATCAAGTTCCAGTGGCGAGGCTTTGTGCATTTGGTACCTGTGCCTGCAGGAGGGACTCACCTGATTTAATATCAACACTATCATCCAACCATCCATTATCTAATCTGCTGATCATCACAAAGGGCGTCCTGGAGCCTATCAGTCGTCGTCAGGCAGTAGGCGGGGGACGCGATGAACTGGTTGCCAGCCAATCGCAGGGCACACAGAGACAAACAACCATTCGCGCTCACACTCACTCCTAGGGACAATTTAGACTGTTAAATTAACCTGTCATGCATGTTTTGGGAACGTGGGAGGAAATGAGAGGAGCCGGAGAAAACCCACGCAGGCACGGGGAGAACATGCAAACTCCACACAGGAAGGCCGGAGCCGGAATGGAACCCTGCACCTTTGCACTGTGAGACCGGCGTGCTAACCAGTCAACCACCGGGCCGCCCCAACGCTATCATGTGCTTACAGAAACCATCAAAACGAAACTGCAAAAAGATTTCGTTGAATTTATTAAATTTTAAATAGATGTATAGTCTACTTTAAAAAAAAAAAAATGATATGGATCCGCGGAGGTCAAAATAGCATGCGGCTTCTTGCCATCTTTACATTTCATTGTGTTGTGTCAAAGCTGTGTGACACCACTGATGTGATGATAGTGATCTCAAACACAACACACAGTCCTTGTTGTCACTCCAGCAGGCAAGTGGGACAGGGATGACTGAGCCACAACTCTGAAGAGGTTGGTTCCAAATCAAACGTTTGAGACAGCGGACAGCTCTGTTGTTTGTTTTTGTTTTTTTGAACCAGTGAAATAGTCTGTATCAAATACTTTACATTACAGTAAATTTTAATGACCTCACCATCAAGTTTTTGTTTCAGGATAAAGTCCTCAAGCTCGGAAGAAAGCATAGAATATTCGAGTGGCGAGTCAAGCTGTTTTTTTATCATGCCTGGAGGCAGTTTGAAGTTTTAAAAGCCTCATCACTAAATTGTCCCAGCTGTCTTGACCATCTGCACGAGAAAAGGACGAGATGCACACAGGAGAGCGGCCTTTGTGCTGGTGGCCACGTCAAAGAGTCCATTTTACAGCACGCCACTGACTCAACGGCCCTCAAGTGACAAATGTGGCCTAATGGATGAGACAGACAGCATGCTGCTTTGCTAAGCCCAGCGCTTCGCCCTCAACCGTTGAGCTCCGGGACAGGACAAGCTGGGCCCTAATAATTAGCATGACACTCCGTTTCAGGGCAATCAGGAACAACATCAGCAGCTGGACTTTACACTGCAGACCTCACTCAGGAGTCTGTTTGCTGTTTCCTAGTTTTTGTGTGTGTGTGTGTGTGTGTGTGTGTGTGTGTGTGTGTGTGTGTGTGTGTGTGTGTGTGTGTGTGTGTGTGT